CCATCCAAGGTCATGATTACCAAGCTCAAGTTGGACAAGGACAGAAAGGCACTGCTTGACCGCAAGAGTGGGGCCAGCAAGAAGGGCAAGTACACCGAGAAAGACACCGCCTGAGAGCAGGTTCAAGCCTTTCAAGTGACTGCGAGATGTGCAGGCTCATGAGGAGAAATACACATGTTTGCTCGGCTGCATTTGCAACCTGTCCGGAACATTCTGGCCTGCAGTCTGTTTGGGAACATTGTTTTTCTTCATGCTGATTGAGTGTCTTGACAACTTCCAGTAATGTAGTTTTCGATCATCAGCTCGTTTGTGCTTGCAGGGAAGGTTGTTTGGCTCAGACATTGCTGGACATTCGTTTCCATTGTTCAGCCATGAAGCTGAAAGCCAGCGTGTCCTCCTCGCGGCGAAAGAACCGTAAGGCGCACTTCACAGCGCCCTCCCATATCCGCCGCAAGATCATGAGTGCCCCTTTGAGCAAGGACCTCCGCAACAAGTATTCCGTGCGAGCTGTGCCAATTCGGCGTGATGACGAGGTTGTGATTGTCAGGGGCCACTTTCATGACCGTGAGGGCAAGGTGACCCAGGTGTACCGCAAGAAGTTCTGCATCCATGTGGAGCGAGTGACACGGGACAAGGCAAATGGCCAGACTGTGCCCATTCCTATTCATCCATCCAAGGTGATGATTACCAAGCTCAAGTTGGACAAGGACAGAAAAGCACTGCTTGACCGCAAGAGTGGGGCCAGCAAGAAGGGCAAGTACACCGAGAAGGACACAGCGTAGACCAGAAGCAATGAAGAGACGATTGAATTACTCGGCCAGACAAATTTCTAGAAAAACAATATTTTTTTTTATGGTTGGAAGGAAGATTAGCAGAGACTATGCAATATAATATTTTTCGTTATATTTTCATATGTTACGGGGATGAGGAATATTAATAGAAAGAATTATATATAAATAGAATAATATATAATTCTTTTTTACAATTCTATGATTTTGAAACTATATATTTCATTTTAGATAGATATAATATATATATTGATGTATGATATTTTATGAATATTGTATTTGTTGAGAGGGAAATGTGTGCGTGCATAAATCGAGAAATCGAATATATTGTTAGGTTAGTTTAACTCTTGGAATTAATTATTATTAATACTATTTGAATTTAATTTAAAGCTTGTAAAGGGTTTGGAAGCGATTATTGATCGATTATTTTCGAACCACAAAAAATTAGATTATGAATCTAAGATTCGCTTAGGGGGATTTTGGGAATATGGGCTATGCAGCACCGAAGAAAGGCAATTCGAGAAGAGCTGGAACAAGGACAACGAGAAATGCTTGCTGCGCACGCTAGGCTGGAAAAGAAGAGAGCTCAAGGGAATGAATTCCCCATTGAGGATCGGAAAGAAAGTGATGAAAAGAAATAGAAAGAAAAGGGAATTGAAGGAAAGGATTCAAGACTTGCGAAGCCCCAAGAGATCCCATCGATTATAATTATTCTTACCCCGACAGCCAGACCCATGCTTCAGATTCTGCTGCCATATTTAGGGCCGATCGCAGGAATTCCGCTATCTGAGGCGAATACGCTATCACAGCGTGTCACCCTGATTAGGACGCCTGAAGTCAGAACCGGTGTCACTATTGTTTTAACAGCAACAGATTGAAGGATTGTTGTACCCAAATTTTCAAACCCCGGCATCCGAATTTCCTCAAAGACCCTGCTTTTTGCAAGATGAAGAAAAATAAGGTCAAGAAAATCTAAGAAAAAATTTGGAAATGAAGGAGAAAAGGGAATGAGCAACTTTGAAGAAAGGTTGCAAAGGGAACGAATAGAAAGGGAAGAATTGAATCGTCATATCTAGTTGTTGGTACTAAAGAATCAACGATTCAGAGATGAAGCAATCCAATCATTGATGGCTGGAAAGGATAAGGAAGAAAGAGAAATAATCTATGTCCGATAGCTCCAACAGGTCATGGAAGAGAATCGTCAGCTCCGAGGTGATCTTCGTCGTCTCGCCGCCCAGGTTGATATTGGGGAAGAAGAAGTCATCTTTGTCACGCCTAATGGAAGTTTAGGCTGGGAAAAAAACGGGAAAGGAAGGTCAGAAAGAAGAAGAAGACCAAGAAAGAGCACAGCCCGAGCAGGAAAGGATTGGCAGGGAAAAACGGGGGAAAAGAAAAGAAGAATCGAATGTAGAATCTTTCCCTCGTTAATTGTCGATGTCATCCTCAATTTGCTATAGGGCATGTAGGATATTGAAAAGGAGTTGGTGAAGAATGTATCTAAAGAAGAAAAAGAAGGAGATGGTGATGATTCCCCTGAAGTGGTTCAGAGGAGAGTAGATCTCCACAAGTCGCCGGAGTGGTCCCTAGAAATTGGTCCGATCGACTTCTCGGATTGGTTGTTGTTGATTCAACCACTGATGGGTGATTTAAGCAGCACCTTAGAAGAATGATGGCAATCTACAATTGAAGCGGCTAAGACGCTACATAAACAAGACGCCACTTGACCGATTGCAACATCATCTAGTGATTCCACCAAGTTTGAACCAAAGGAAGTGGGCTCGACTTGAACGATGGGTATTATCCTTGTTGTTGGCTGCAATTTCCGATAGCCTCCGCGAAGAGGTCGTCTCATCCAGAAGCCTGACGGCAATGAATATCTAGACCACGGGAATGCCCTAATATTAACCAGGGGGACTTTGCCGAAAAATTAGCTATCCTGGCCGCTTTGGAAAATACGTAGGAACGCTGGAAGCCCAATCGATTTCGGTTGTAATGTCCACATTTCGAAGATGAATGCGCTGGAAAAGAAGGATTGAAGAATTTGGAATCTTAATTTCCGATGCCATAATTTTGGCGAGAAACTTTTGCAGATCGATGAATAAATTGGCATCGGTTCATGCGGATTTAACTTCCGCCTCCAATTCGCTAGAAATTAATTGATGGTGGATTTAATATCGATTCAAGATTCGGTTACTATATAAATATTTCCATTATTTATTTGTTGAACTGGAAACCATGGGACATTAATTTAAGAAAAGGAAAACGCCCCTGAGATTCCTAAAATGAAGAAATTTAAAGAAATATCGAAAGAAACAAAAAATAAAGAAGAAAGAAATTATGAAGGAAAGAAAAAAAGGAAAATGCAGATTTTATCTCTCTGAAGGAGGTTGCCGAAGGGGAAAGAATTGTACCTATTCCTATGAATAAAAGGACGAGAAAAGGCGATATTGAAATTATGGAAATATAGAATATATGTTTTCGTCATGTATCCGTCCGAAGGAGAATAAAGAAGCGGGAAAGACCATTAACAAGGCCGCAAAGATGGAAAAGGAGAAAGATGGGAAGGAAGAAACAAAGATGGAAGATGATGAGAAGGATATCGTTTCCATAAGTATAAAGGATCTTTTTGAAGAAAACAAACAATATATTGAAATCATTTAATAGTGGACCACTAACCTCTTCAGAAGCTCCTACAAGTCTAGGGGAAGAAGAAAGAAAAGAAGTGGTGGAAAGGTTCCAACAATAATTCAAATCCCTCTCTCGTCAAGAGACATTTTAATTCATGCGGTTTCCAAAAGGGAAATAAGGTTGGCCTTTTAGATAATGGAACCACTCATCCATTACGACTTGCCAAACGATGGGAAGACAAAGAAAATTATGAAAGAATACAAATTGCCCTAACGGACGGTCAAACCACGTGGTTGCCGATCTTTCCAGGGGGAGCCATGATTGCAGAGGATCTAGGTCACTACAAATGCTTGTTTTTGAGCTCCGGCAGCTTCTGGATGGCAGATGATGACCGCCGTGCGGCCCTGTGTCTTGTAATGGATCCCATTCGTCGCGAAGCCTATATATATCGGTTGGTGCCGCATGCATGCTTGAATATGCGGTGGTGCCGGTCTGTTGCACATATGGGGGATCCGTCTGATTTCTCGGATCTGTTGTTTACGACCCTTTCCTGAATATAGCTTGGTCAATTGACCTTCGATTCATGAAGATGAGATTTTGTAAGCCTGGCCATGGCACATCGACATAATTCTTCGTTTATTTCACAATGAAATATCGTGACCGTGGCTATTGAAACTCGTGAAATTTGCCTAAGAATCGCTGCGTAACCCAACACGGGCCTGACTTCATCCAGGCCGGAAATGAATCAATAAATATCTATATTTGGATTTTATATATTTATATTTATTTTTTTATTTATAGAATGTAATATTTCTATATTATAAATATTCGATTTAATATATATATTAAATATATTTTCAATTTTATTATATTTACGAAATATTTAAGGATATTAAACATATATCGGTTATTTTTTCGATTAAATATAGATTTATTTAATTGTATTATATTTGAATTACTATATTTTAAAAAATAAATGGATATTCTAAATATATATTTAATAAATAGAAAGAATTAATTCTGCATAGGCTAGCTAGTCGGGCCGAAACAATATACGACGAATTATATGCATTTAAATGGCATAAAACCACCTAAAAAGCGGGAGAATAGAAATCAATTACTATAAGAAAACAATAATATAATAATGCGGAATAAAATCGAATAAGAATGAATAAACAAAAAATTGAAGTAAAAAATCGTATTAAAGGTAGGAATATAATATCGCCAAATTTTTGTTTAAAAGGCATTACAAAAAGGAAAATTTCCATCTAAATAACGGACAATAATTTTTCTTATATTATATTTTAGTTAAATCTATAAAATAAATATATTATTAGAAACAATCGAAAAATATATTTGCTAAAAATATACGAATATTTGAAAACATATTAATATTATAAATGAAAATTAATATAATATTAATACTATTGCTATTAAAAACAAAATCAACATTTATAAATTATAAAATATCTTTAATTCGTCCGAATCAAATATATAAAGAATTTTCATTTATTTATCATTTGGCGAATAGCTCATTCGCTCGTGTTAGGCTTCGGGATCTAGTCGAAATTGTTCTTGGCCACCTCTAGGGCGGCGTGCCCCTCATCCGATGCAAAAATCGTCATGGGCTTCCATGACAGATGTCAAAATTCTCAGCGCGCCAACTAGTCTACTATCATGCTTAGTGGATCTAATGAAAGGCAAAATATAGATCGGCTCCATGCCGTGCGGTATCGACGTTTAAAGGGCACAATCCATAAAAGGTAAATATTTCGGTTAAATTCATCCATACGAATCATGCTTTCCGGAATTTACAAATCATCTGCTAACATCCTTTTCTCGAATATAGTAATGCTATGCTGCAATATCTGGCATTCGGATTCTCCCCAAAGTGCGCCACAATAATATATATTATCTATTTTATCTATAAATCCTCTTAATATATAAATATAGTATAAAAATCTATATTTAAGACCAACAAATTGCCTATAAACTCTTATAATACATTAAAATATATAATTAAATAATTTGATTTTTTTATATCTATTACAAAAGATCATAATTATATCTAAATTAAATTTTATCCATATCTCTTTAATATTTATATAAACCTAATATATTTATACAATTTATTCACCTAACAAAAATACACATATAAATCCGCACACGCCCCATAAATCCTATAAACAATAAACCAAATAGTTCAATAAAAAACAATCTTCAATCAAACAAAAAACAAACAATAATTGACCATTTAATAAACAAAGCAAAAATGCATTTATGCTACAAAGCATTTTTGTTCATTCATTCAGCACTCAGCGGACCGTGAGTCCGCCCGTGTTGAGCTGCGGGACATCGTCTTGGCTGTATCGTGTACAGCGTAGCCTCATCCGAACAAGCGCTTGACAAACATCAAAAGAAG